CTGAGGGTTGGTAGGGGGGTGGAAGAGAGGGGAAAATAGTGACGGGCACTGAGAGGGCACTTGTTGAGATGAGCACTGGGTGTTGTATGTAAACAATGAACCACGGATATCTACCTCCAAAACCAAGAGAATACTTTACACATCATATGTTAGCCAATTTGACAATAAATTATATTTATAAAAATTCCAATTCCATGAATATAATTGTTAATACTATTTATCCAAACCTTAAAAAAAAACATCAAATAGATCAATTCAACAAGTATTTACTGAATATCTACCACAATGAATCTGTAATAGGGTTTTATATCAAAAAGAATCTCTCTTCCTGGCCTAAAATGTTGGACTTCTTCCTTTACACCTAACAAGCAGAGCCTCCTCATGTGTGTGTGTGTGTGTGTGTGTGTGTGTGTGTGTGTGCATATATATGTGTGTGTATATATATGTACATATACATGTATATGTGTGCAGGTATATACACCAAGAAATTCCTGCCATATACACCAAGAAATTCCTGCCATCTGGTGTCCAAATTCAATACTACAATGACTAGGGACCAAGCAACCTCAACTCTGTATAGGCAGGCAAGCACTCTAGACTAAAAAGATGTTCTATTTAGTGGTATTTAAAAATCCACTGGTGCTATGGGGCACCTGGATTGCTCAGTCAGTTGAGCATCCAACTCTTGATTTGAGCTCAGATCACGATCTCACAGTTCTGAGTTTGATACCAGAGTCAGGCTCAGGCTCCATGCCTGCTTAAGATTCTTTCTCTCTCTCTCTCTCTCTCTCTCTCTCACTCTCACTCTCACTCTGCCCCTCCCCCCACTCAAGCTCTTTCTGTCTCTCTCAAAATAATTAAATAAGCATTTTTCAAAATGCATTTGGGGGAAAAACTGAGAGCTCTCTCCCTAAAGTCAGGAACATGACACGGATGTCCACCCTGTCACTGTTATTCAACATAGTATTGGAAGTCTTAGCCTCAGCAATCAGACAACACAAAGGAATAAGAAACATCCAAACTGGCTAGAAGGAAGTCAAGCTTTCACTTTTAGCAGATGACATAATACTCTATATGGAAAACCCAAAAGATCCCACAAAAAAACTGCTAGAACTTATGCATGAATTCAGCAAAGTCGCAGGATATAAAATCAATGCACAGAAATCAACTGCATTCCTATACATCAATAATGAAGCAACAGAAAGAGAAATCAAGGCTTCAATCCCATTTACAATTGCACCAAAACCCATAAAATACACAGGAATAAATCTGATCAAATAGATGAAAAACCTATCACTGAAAACTATAGAAAGCTTATGAAAGGAATTGAAGAAGACACAAAAAATGAAAAAATATTCCATGCCCCTGGATAGGAAGAGCAAATACTGTTAAAATGTCAATACTGCCCAACGCAATCTACATATTCAATGCAATCCCTATCAAAATAACACCAGCATTCTTCACAGAGCTAGAACAAACAATCCTAAAATTTGTATGGAACCAGAAAAAACCCTGAATAGCCAAAGCAATCTTGAAAAAGAAAACCAAAGCTGGAGTCATCACAATCCCGGACTTCAAGCTGTATTACAAAGCTGTAATCATCAAGATAGTGTAGTACTGGCACAAAACCAGACACTCAGATCAACAGAACAGAATAGAGAATCCAAAAATGGACCCACAAACGTATGGCCAACTAATCTTTGACAAAGCAGGAAAGAATATCCAATGGAATAAAGACAGTCTCTTCAGCAAATGGTGCTGGGAAAACTGGACAGCGACATGCAGAAAATGAACCTGGACCATTTTCTTACACCATACACAAAAATAAGCTCAAAATGGATGGAAGAACTAAATGTAAGACAGGATGCCATCAAAATCCTCAAGGAGAAAACAGGCAAAACCCCTTTGACCTCAGACACAGCAACTTTTACTTAACACGTCTCCGGAGGCAAAGAAAACAAAGCAAAAATAAACTATTGGGACTTCATCAAGGTAAAAAGATTCTGCACAGCAACGGAAACAGTTAACAAAACTAAAAGCCAACTGACAGAATGGGAGAAGATATTTACAAACAACATATCAAATAAAGAGTTAGTATCCAAAATCTATAATGAACTTATCAAACTCAACACCCCAAAAAACCAAATAATCCAGTGAAAAAGTGGGCAAAAGACAAGAATAGACACTTCTCCAAAAAAGACATCCAGATGGCCAATCAACACATGAAAAAATGCTCAACACCACTTGTCATCAGGGAAATACAAATCAAAACCACAATGGGATACCACCTCAAAACATTAACAACTCAAGCAACGGATCTTGGAGAGGATGTGGAGAAAGAAGATCTCTTTTGCCCTGCTGGTGGGAATGCAAACTGGCGCAGTCACTCTGGAAAACAGTATGGAGGTTCTTCAAAAAATTAAAAATAGAACTACCCTATGACCCAGCAACTGCACTACTAGGTATTTATTGAAAGGATACACGTGGGCTGTTTTGAAGGGGTACATGCACCCCAATGTTTACAGCAGCACTATTAACAATAGCCAAAGTATGGAAAGAGCCCAAATGTCCATCAATGGATGAATGGATAAAGAAGATGTGGTATATATATATACAATGGAGTATTGACCAGGCAATCAAAAAGAATGAAGTCTTGCCATTTGCAACTATGTGGATGGAACTAGAGGGTATTATGCTAAGCAAATTAGTCCGAGAAAGACAAATATCTTATAATTTCACTCATATGAGGAATTTACGATACAAAACAGAGGAACATAAGGGAAGGGAAGCAAAAATAATATAAAAAAAGGGAAGGGAACAAAACATAAGAGACTCTTAAATGTGGAGAACAGAGGGTTGCTGGAGGGGCTGTGGGGGTATGGGCTAAAAGGCATTAAGCAATCTCCTCCTGAAATCATGATTGCACTATATGCTAACTTGGATGTAAATTAAAAAATAAATAAAAATTAAAAAATTTTTTTAATTTAAAAAATCCATGTGGGCTAAAGGGTTATAAGAAAAGACTATTAATTTAAATGAATCTTAAAAGAAGACTATGAACTTAAATGAAAACTGAAAGAATATGGGAAAGATATTTGGGGGTATTCTCCCATCTCCAGCAAATTAAGGGAAAACTGAAATACTGAAAATACTACATCCAAAACCCATCTATTCCACCACCGCCCCTGGTCAGCCTTTCAAGCAATGCTAACCACACTTCTCCCAAGAGCTCAGCAAAATAGGGTGCAGATTGATAATGCAAACAACTGAAGAAAGGAAAACATAAACTAAGAATATGGAGACCCCTTTTAATTTATAGGGTAACTTTTCATTTTCTGTAGTCAATGTACTTTAAGAGCTATGATTTAACAGATCTGGGTTTCTTGTATTTTCTAGAAAGTTCATTTATTTTGAGAGAGAGAGAGAGAAAGAGCATGAACAAGAGAGGGGCAGACAGAGAAAGAGAAAGAATCCCAAGCAGGCTCCACAGACAGTGTAGAGCCCAACACGGGGCTCGATCTCAGAATCACAAGATCATGATCTGAGCCGAAATCAAGAGTCTTATGCTTATCTAAGTCAGCCAGGTGCCCTGATAGATTCGTTGTTTTTTTTTTAATTATTTATGAAATAAGGCAAAAAATGTGTCCTATCAACTACAATGACTCAACTTGAAACAAGACTTATTACTTTTTGATTTAACAAGGATTCTTTAGTCTTCAACAAAGATTTACTACAAAATAGGAATGCTGTGAGAACTAATCAGCACATGTTTGTACAGCACAAGGTAAAGGCAAGGGGAAAGTAGGAGTCATCCTTGATTCCTCCCTATCTTACCCCGCATTAATTATCAAGCCCAGTGGATTAATAAGCTAAATATCTCTCTATCCCCACTACCCATCCCAGATGAAGTCACCATCACTTTTTCCTCAGGCCAAGGACTGGCAAACTATGGCCTGCAGGCCAAATCTGACCTGTTACCAGATTTTGTAAGTAAAGTTTTATTGGAACACAATCATGACCATTCATTTATATATTGTCTTTGACTATCTTCACACTGCAATGGTAGAACTGAGGAGGTGTGACTGGCCCACAGAGTCTAAAACATTTACTATCTGGCCCATTACAGAAAAAATTTGCCAAACTTGGCCTAGGTAGGCTTATATTAAATAATTCTCTTAACTAGTCTACCACTGATTCAATTCACTCTCCAAACTGCAGTCTGAGTGAAAGTTTTAAGGATGCAAATTTGATCATTAATTCTGCAAAGATAAATCCAAACTCTTTATGGTAACTCCTGTAACTTTTCCAACCTCCTATCTTGCCATTACCCTTCATGCTCCTGTTATTCTATTTTAATCTCTTCAAACTCATCTTGCTTTAACCTTCGGGCTTTCACCATATAATATTTCTCCCAACTGGAACATTCTATTTTCTCTGAGCTAACTCCAAGTCAGAGTTCAGGTTCTCTATATACAGGTCATCTTCTCCAGGACGCCATTCCTGACCCCTTGGGCTGGAGTTCGGTGTTCCTGAATTCCTCTCTCACTGACTTTATCCTTAGACTCTAATGAATTTTAATTGTCAGGCCAGATCAAGAGCCATACGAAGGCAGAGATAGGCTCTGTGATGTTAACTAAGATATCCTTGCAGCAAGCAGAGACTAGTATGTACAAGGTATTTATAAAATCTTGGTTCAAATTAATTTATCCTTTGCATCATGTTCTGAGATTTCAAAGAACTTTTACTCAGAGATTTACCAGAAAAAAATTATATAATTTTAGGCAATGAAGACAAGTCATGTATAACCATGGCAGAATAAGGTAATACCAAAGTCTGAAAACCTAGAAACCTATAAAGGACTGCTGAGCCCAACTATTTACACCACACATATTTTAGTGTATTACCAGAGAAAACCCTGATCATCAGAGCTTATCATTCTAGGCTGTATTTAATGAAAACAACAAAAATAATGAAACTTAAAAAAGGTGTTCTCCTAATACCTGCTCTTCCCTCTCCTTTTCTTTGGTCTTACTTCTGTAGACTCTAGCAGCGGTGGCATCCTGGGCTGGAATGGCAGAGATCTGATGCAGTGGCATGCTCATCCCAGCCTCCTGTCTGGTTGTCTTCTTTACTGAACAGAGTCTCCAGTGGTAGAGTCATTTTGGGCCATGGACTTCAAACTGAGAGAGAGAAGACAAGACATAATTGAGCTTGACATACCACTTCAAATCTCCAACAGTGAGACTAGCATTTTATATTTATATTCTTATATGAACCAGTTACAGTATCTGATATAAACACTTGGTCTTCAAAACCAACAGAAGATAAATGTTTGTGGGGGAAATTTTAATATTTTTCTCATGCAATAAGATGGAAACACTTGAAAGAGGCATGTACATGTACAGTCAGATATTAATTTTCCACTGGCTATTAGGTTTTAAACACAGCAGTGTCATCCTCTAAGAATATTTTTGAAGTTAATTTTTTTCCTTGCACAAGCATTCATTCTGATAGAAGTAGTGCTCTTTCCTTAAAACCGTTGCCCCTGAATCTACATAATGGTAAGATTAAAGGCATAAAAGTCTAAAATAAATTTAAGCTATCTATGATCTATGCTTAACCTTCTTAAAGTGTAGACTCTCTAGACCAGTTGTGGGCAAACTTTTTCCTATAAAGGGCCAGACAGTAAATACTTTAGGCACTGTGAGCCATATAGTTTTAAAACTGCTCAATTCTGTGGGGTGCCTGAGTGGCTCAGTCAGTTGAGTATCTAATTCTTGATTTCAGCTCAAGTCATGATCTCACGGTTCATGAGATCAAGCCTCACATCAGGCTCTGCGCTAACAGTACAAAGCCTGGTTGGGATTCTCTCTCTCCTTCTCTGTCTCTCCCTGCTTGCTCAAGTGCGCACAAATGAATGAGAATGGTTATGTTCCAATAAAACTTTATTTACAGAAGCAGGTGGCAGGCTAGATTTGGCCCATGACCTGTAGTTTGCTAACTCTGTTCTAAAGAATTTTCCATGGAATATTAGGGCCATCATGGATATTCCTGGGATCTTGAAAAGGCTGCTCTTAGGTAAAATAATAGTTTCTAAATAAGCTTGATTCAATGATTCCAAGCATACCTGCCTTTTTCTGGTTTTCTCCTACATTCTTCCAAAATTCCGGGTAATTGAGTTGTGTGTTCTCTATCCTCTTATCCCATGCCCATTGAAATCCATCAAATGCAGTATACAAAACCAATTATATATCCAAATTATCCATAGGTTTAATATATGTTTCATGTTATCTGCATTTTAACAAAGGATGGAAACATTAAACTAAAACAATGCATCTCTAATTTTGGGATCTTAAGCTGATAAGAACAGATACTACACTTGGTCTTAGCCAAAAGGCCGAGAAGCAATCTAATTTTGGGGTCTTCACTTATTAACCATGTATTGGAGGCTGAGGCAATAGGCAGGGAATGTAAACAAGAGGGCCTGACAACCCTAAGGTCACATCTGAAGAGCAGCCATTTATAGTCCACCTCTGCCTCCCCATACTCTGCTCTGGAACAAAGGTAGGTGTTTGTGTGGCTGGTCTCATCTCTGACAGTTTTACTTAGCCAAACTAAAGAGCAACAGAACTCACAAAATTAATTCCCTTCATAAGATTCTCTGATCAACAAGCAACAAAAATAAGAAACTAGAAGGTATCAATACTATGAAAAAATGAGCTACAAGAATATTGTTTTCAAAAGTCTAGTTTTATAACAGGTAGGTGATCACTGATAACCAATAAAACCAGAAATACAGTAGATGATATTAACGTCTAGATATTCTAATCAATTACTAAAATGCTAGTGCATGTTATACATCATCTACTTTATCTCAAGCCTATGATGAAGCTGACACAAGATGGAGCACTGTGCCCAAGAAATGGGTTGACTATTTATGTTCACATTACACCAAGATAAGAGGCACTTACTGCCTGGTTGTCTTATACTCTCTGGGAGATCACAATAGTCACTGGTGAGTTTTTTTTATCATTTCATTACTCATGCATCAAAGTCCCTGTCACAGATGACAAACTCCATGTGGCCTCTTGGGATATTTAACTCGAACCAGAGCCCCACCACACATCATGCCACTAGCTGCCTTTGGTGCTTCTGGTATAATAATCATTATTACATCATTGGTACATGACCATGACAAGCCTGAAGAGGACTATATATGCCAGAGAAACACAGATGTGAGAGAAGGTTTTAAGTGTTCTGTGGAATTTTGAAGGACCTCTCCTCCTAACAGCCATTTAAGCTACTCTTCTGATTTGAACTCCTATCTCCAGGTAAGTCAGCCTGAAGTAATCCCTCTCCTATGCAATATTTAGGATAAAAATGGTAATCTTAAAAACCAAACCAAAAAACTGACCATGCCACATTTTTTGTGAAGGTTCATGTGAAAAGTATAAAGTAGGTATTACTTGTACTATTTTCTTTGCATAATTTCCAAATATTAATACCAATTCATCTGTAATGAAGAGTAATAGTTAAACCTTTGCACTATGCCTGACAATCCAGGCATGAGAACTTCAATCCCACTAATGCTAACTTGAAAAACACAGCACACCTAATACGAACATCCATATCTAGAAGAAATGGACAAACTGGTTAAGAATACGTAAATGGATATGTCATGTCAATGGATCAGAAGACTTTAGATAAAATTTAGAGACATGAAATAAGCCCATGTAACTATGGTCAACTGGTTCTTCAACAAGGATTCCAAGACCATTTAATGGGGAAAGAACAGTCTTCTAAACATGCAAAAGAATAAATTTAGACTCCACTCTTACACAAATTAAAAAAATAAACAAACTAAACATCACCAAAATAAAAGCATTTGTGCTTCAACAGATATCAAGAAAGTGAAAAGACAACCACAGAACAGAATAAATCTTTTTGCAAAACAATAAGGGATTTGTATGTTGAATATATAAAGGGACTATCAAAACTCAACAATAAATACACAAATAATCCAATGAAAAATGGGTTGTTGAACACAATCTTAATTATACAGAACTGATGGTTACCAGAGGAGAGTGGGTGGGAGGATGGGTCAAATAGGTGACAGGGATTAAGGGAATGCACTTGTGGAGATAACCACAGGGTGATGCATGGAAGTGCTGAATTACTATACTATACACCTGAAACTAACATAACTAATGTAATGTAACTGAATGTTAACTAACTGGAACTAAAACAAAAACTTTAAAAAAAGAAAAATGGCTTGTTCAACATCATTAGCCAACAGGAGAATGCAAATCAAAACCATGAGATATCACTTCAATTATGGCTACATTTAAAGACAGGTAAGTGTTGGCAAGGGTGTGGAAACACTGAAACCCTCATACAGTGCCAGTGGAAATACATGCAGCTGCTTTGGAAAACTGCATCTTCTTTAAAATGTGAAAATAACACAAATGTCCATAAGTTAATGAATGGATAAATAAAATGTGTTATCTATAAAATGGAATTATTATTTAGCAACAAAAAGAAATATGAATACATGCTACAAGTGGATGAAGCCTGAAAGCATTATAAAGTGAAAGGACTACATATTACATGATTACATTTGTATTAAGTGTGCAGAGTAGGCACATATAGAAACAGAAAGTAGATTACTGATTGCCAAGGACTAGTGTAGGGACGGGGGGTGAGGGATAATGGCTAAAAAGGTTTCTTTTTAGAGCAATGAATATGTTCTAAAATGTATTATGGTAATGTCGCATAACTCTTAAGTATACTAAAAACCATAGAATTATATAATTTAAATGAGTGGATCTGAATGAATTATATCTCAGTAAGACTTTTTTAAAAATACGTAATTTAACTGATAGGGACTAAGAGAGATGACACTGTATTTTTCCTTTGTGCTATCTCAATGTAATGTATTGGGATGACAAGGTCACTGTTACCCTATCACTGTTCCAGTTTTGAGAAAGGTAACAGGAAAAGTGCAAAATCAGAAATCAGAAATGTAAGTTCAAGACTTGACTCTTCAAAACTGTGTAATGTTGGGTAAACTGAGGAATTTCAAAGGCTCTGTTTCTTCAGCTGTAAAACAGAAAGGTAATAATAATCTCTACTCCATTCACAGGGTTATTGTGAAGACCAAAGAAGACTGTGTCCATGTGCACAAATGTAAGGGTTCTTAACATCAGCACATTTTCCAGCCTCCTTTTTCAGGCATCTGCAGTGATTCCCCTCACCGCCTCACAAAGGCCAGTTTGTTTGCTTTCTTTCCAGTACCATTTTCTGCCTTCCTACCCCTCATACTGACACAAAATTTGCACAACCGAGACCTCAAATTCTTTCTGACATTTCTTTAGGATCTCTAGTAGCTTGACTATAAGGAGAAGCAAGGCTGATCACACTATCCCTATGAGGGGAGAGGTAGGAAGGCCTGATCTAAACTACGACCAGCGTGGCCTAACAATTAAGCTGTTCTATGTGCTTTCCAAATGGTTTAGATAAATGAAAGATTCTGTCCATTCCAACAATGATGCCTGAGACAAATACAGACAACAAGGAGGCAGCCAGGAGAAGACAAAGATGCCAGTCGCAGCTTCCCTGCGGGACAGTCACCCCAGGTCTGCTTGCCTCCCTGTACCCTTGCTCACAGGGTGCCAGGCTCCAGCAGCACTCTTCTCCTCACCACTGTGCAGAGCTGAATGCTAACATCCTGAATGGCACTCAGAATAAACAACTTTAAATTAAGCCTATTTTTATCAGATGCACATTTCATACAAAAAATGAGAAGCCTGTGCACAGCAGCTAGCAGATACAAAAAGATTAAAAAAAAAGAAAAAAGCAGTAACAGGAGTCAGGAGACCAGCTGTAGTACACAGCACTGAAGGATCAAAGCAGGACTTAAAGCTGGGAATATGAAGGAAGAGAGAGCATCTGAAAAGGAGCATTTGAAAGAGAGCATTTGAAAAGGATGATGGATACAGTCTAGTGAGGGGACTAAACTGTACCCTGGTTTCTGGGTGTACGTTCAAAAGACCAGGATGCACAGAGGAGTGGGGGGTAAAGGAAAGCTCACCATGGACACTGAGCTTGACATGTCTGTGGGAAACTCCAGATATGTACACAGTGTACAATGGGAGTCAACGACATATCATGACACCTGAACACACAGGATTAGAATCCATTTTCCAACAAAAACCTGCAGAATCAGTAGTTTATGTCATTAGGTGCTAGAAACAAATGATAAAACCCAGTATCAATACAGACATTTTAAATAGCAATGAAGAATCCCTAACTTTAAAAAACATCCATCTCAAATTAACTTTACACTCACATGACAAAACTCTTAGAGGCATTCTATTTAAGCAAAGGGAAATGAACACATTACCACTGCTATTATTTAATATATAGTTGAATTCTTTTCTACTAATGTGATTAAGACTTAAAAAGAGAACTGTATAGTGTAATGAAAGAGCTAGAGTCCAAAGGAATTTTCTTTTTTTTTATTTTTTTTAAATATTCAAGTTAGTTAACATATAGTGTAGTATTGGTTTCAGGAGAATTTAGTGATTCATCACTTACATATAACACCTAGTGCTCATCACCAGTGTCCTCCTTAATGCTCATCACCCATTTAGCCCACCCCCCCACTTCCCTTGCAGCAACTCTCAGTTTATTCTCTATAGTTTTCCTTCTCTTCCCCTATGGTCATCTCTTTTGTTACTTAAATTCCACGAGTGAAATCTCATGGTATTTGTCTTTCTCTGACTTACTTAGCTTAGCATAACACACGCTAGTTTTATCCCCCAAATGGCAAGATTTCTTTCTTTTTAACGGCTGAGTAATATTCCATTATATGTGCTGTATATATATACATCATCTTTTTTTACATGTTTTGATTCATTTTTCAGAGGGGGAGAGACAGAGTGTGAGCAGGGGAGGGGCAGATGGAGACAGAGACAAAGAATCTGAAGTAGGCTCCATCCAGGCTCCAAGCTGTCAGCACAGAGCCCAATGTGGGGCTCAAACCCATGAACCACGAGATCATGACCCAAGCAGAGTCAGATGCTTAACCAACTGAGTCACCCAGGTGCCCCTATACCACATCTTTATCTGCTCATCGGTTGATGGACATTGGGCCCTTTCCATAATTTGGCTGTTGTTGATAGTGCTGCTATAAACACTGGAGTGCAGGTGTCACTTTGAATCAGCATTTTTATATCCTCTGGATAAATACCTAGTAGTGCAATTGCTGGGTCATAGGGTAGTTCTATTTTTTATTTTTTGAGGAACTTCCATACTGTTTTCCAGAATGGCTACACCAGTTTGAATTCCCACTAACAATGCCAAAGGGTTCCCTTTTCTCTGCATCCTCACCAACATCTGTTGTTTCTGAGATGTTGATTTTAGCCATTGTGACAGGTTTGAGGTGGTATCTCATCATGGTTTTGATCTCTGTATTTCCTTTCAGATGAGTGATGTTGAGCATCTTTTCATATGTCTGTTAGCCACATGGATGTCTTTAGCCCAAAGGAATTTTCTTTTCTTTTTAAAAACTTTTTATGTTTATTTATTCTTGAGACAGAGAGAAACAGAGGATGAGTGGAGGAGGGGGCAGAGAGAGAGGGAGACAGAATCCGAAGCAGGCGTCAGTCTCTGAGCTGTCAGCACGGAGCCCGACACGGGGCCCAAACCCATGAACTGTGAGATCATGACCTGAGCTGAAGTCGGACACTTCAACAACCGAGCCACCCAGGCGCCCCTTAAAGGAATTTTCTAAGAACTACCAGAATCAGTTAAAAACATAAAAATTTATATAAAATCAGTAATGCATTCTAGGGTAAGAAAAAAGTATATTAATACATAATGTCACCAACACTCCTATATATCAACAAAACAAAAATCATGAAACAGAGATAAATGATTTAAAAAGCTACTTAAGAACTTTTAATGAAAAACATTTAGTGATTTTAGACTATATATGGAAACAATAATAGTTTGTATTATAATAATAAATTGTGTTCTCCACAAATAAAGCATGTATTTAATGTAATTCCAAAGTCTAAGCAAGATTTTCTACTTGACAAAAATTATTCTGAAAGTATGCATAAGAATTAATAAGATGATCAAATAAAAATGTTAAGAAGTAATAGAGAGATGAATTCTCTTGAAATATAGACATAACTAGGCAATAATTATTATTAAAACAGCAAGATACAGGTCCAAGACTGAAAAAGTCCAAAAACTGATTGAATTATACAGAAGAGTAAAACAGCAGCCCAAAATTCTAGGAAAGGGGAAAGTTTCTTCTTAACTTATGCTGGGATAACTAGACAAAAATTTGGAAGGTAAGGGGTACCTGGGTGGCTCAGTCAGTTAAGAACCAGAATCTTGATTTCAGCTAGGGTTATGATCTCACGGTTCGGTGGGTTCAAGCCCACATCGGGCTCTGCACTTAACAGCACGGAGCCTTCTTGGGTTCTTTCTCTCTCTCTTTGTCCCTCCCCAACCCTCCCCCAAATAAATAAACATTTAAAAAAAAGAATTTGGGAGGGGAAATAATATCAATTAAGACTCACACTTCAGAGGGGCCTGGATGGTTCCATCAGTTAAATGTCTGACTCTTGATTTTGGCTCAGGTCATGATCTCACAGTTTGTTAGACTGAGCCCTGTATTGGACTATGTGCTGACAGCATGGAGCCTGCTTGGGATTCTCTCTCTCCCCCTTTCTCTCTGCTCCTCCCCAGCTTGTGTGTCTCTCTCTCTCAAAAATAAGTATTTAAATAAACAAATAAAAACATTTTTAAAAACTCATATTTCATTTATTGAAATAAATTCTTACAGATACACAAGTTAAATGTTAAAAAAAAAACACATAAAATGCAATTGCAAATTAAGGAACTAAAGGGAGACTGACTTCCTAAGCCTCGAATTAACAGAAAAAAAATTATGAAAGATTTATAGATATGACCTTATCATTAAAAACAAACATAAATAGGCCAAAAAAAAAAAAAAAGACTGGAAAATATTTGTAGGATATGGGACAGAAAATCAGTATCTTTTATATATAAAAAGTTAATACAAATAGCTTTTCAAAAACACTAAAATCTCCACAGATAAAATGGGTAGGGCTTAGGAACAGCCACTTCACAAATGAGGACATAACACAGGTCCTCACTTAACATTTTCTTAATCAGGGAAAAGCAACAGCTCAGGGAACCATTTTTTCCCCTTTACAAAAGTCTACAAAAATATGATGAAATCTATCACTGACCAATCAGCGCTGAACTTGTGTTCTTACAACTCTCTGGCAATAATCATAAACTCAGAATGCCTATCAGGAAAAATGTTGCACAACAGGGCTGAAAAACTGTGAAGGAGCTTACCTGCAGGAAACTTAGCTTGAGAAAATACACAAAAGTCTACAAGCCCCAAGACTTCCACCATAACATGATTTACAACAAAGAAAAACAGACAGTTCCTGTAATTCCCCCAAACTGGAAAAAAGCTAAGTAAATTGCAGTGCTGGTACAATCAAAGGAATATTATGTGGGCATTAGAAGCAACATGGATTGATAAAAAGCAGATGATATAAATTAAACACATATTGTAATTATGACTATGTTAATATACATACAAGCAAAAATGCTAGGAAGGAAACTTGTTAAAAATGCTAACAGTGGCGGGGCGCCTGAGTGGCTCAGTTGGTTGAGCGTTCGACTTCAGCTCAGGTCATGATCTCATGGTTTGTGGGATCGGGCCCCACGTCGGGCTCTGTGCTGACAGCTAGCTCGGAGCCTGGAGCCTGCTTCAGATTCTGTATCTCCCTCTTTCTCTGACCCTCTCCTGCTCACGCTGTCTCTCTCTCTCTCAGAAATTAAAAAAAAAAAAAATGCTAACAGTGGCTTAATGATGTGGCAATATAAATGACTCTTCACTTCTCTATTTTTTAAACGTTTAGTGACGATATATTATTTTTTACAATTTAAATATTTGAAGAGCTAAAATTAAAAGCTCAAGCCGTTCCACTTAAGTTGGGAACAGTCAGAGACCTACGTTACCAATGAATATATACAACCAGAAAAGGGCTCTTTTCTGTGAGAAGTACATTTCTGAAGGACTCACAGAACTCAAGCCTAATCTTTCTACATGAATAAAGTAGGAAGATGCATTCTCAGGACATAGATGTTTTCAAGCACTGTAGGGTTTATTTTATGTTCCTTCTCAATTTTGTCAGCATTTCTTTTAAGATTTTCCTAAAGCACTCTCCCTTTAAAAACAGCATAGTTGGGGGGCACCTGGGTGGCTCAGTCAGTAGGCTTCTGACTTTGGCTCAGGTCATGATCTCAAAGTCCATTGGTTCAAGCCTCGCGTCAGGCTCTGTGCTGACAGCTCAGAGCCTGGAGCCTGCTTCGGATTCTGTGTCTCCCTCTCTCTCTGCCCCTCCCCTGCTTATGCTTTCTGTCTCTGTCTCTCAAAAATAAATAAACATAAAAATTAAAAAAAAAACCAGCATAGTGTGTCATGAGAACAGTTCACCTTCATAATGTTTTATTACATTTGACTTTCATTCTACAGTTACTAATTTTGGAGACTGCATTCTTTGATATCTTACATATAGTAAGACTTTATTAATACTGTCATGTCATACTATTTTTAGTTTGTATATTTCTCACGAAATGGAATGGCCATTACACACCAACAGAAATGAAAATTCACAACATGAACATGTGGCAAATATGAGTCT